TATTTGTCGTATATATGTTTATTTGTGTTGATACATTCTACAGTGCGAGTAACATTTACTAGATATATGTTTATTTGTGTTGATACATTCTACAGTGCGAGTAACATTTACTAGATATATGTTTATTTGTGTTGATACATTCTACAGTGTGAGTAACATTTACTGATATATGTTTATTTGTGTTGATACATTCTACAGTGTGAGTAACATAATTTGTTGTATATATGTTTATTTGTGTTGATACATTCTACAGTGTGAGTAACATTTGTTGTATATATGTTTATTTGTGTTGATACATTCTACAGTGTGAGTAACATTTACTAGATATATGTTTATTTGTGTTGATACATTCTACAGTGTGAGTAACATTTGTTGTATATATGTTTATTTGTGTTGATACATTCTACAGTGTGAGTAACATTTACTAGATATATGTTTATTTGTGTTGATACATTCTACAGTGCATATATGAGTAACATTTAACATTTGTAGATATATGTTTATTTGTGTTGATACATTCTACAGTGTGAGTAACATTTACTAGATATATGTTTAGTGTAACATTTACTGTATATATGTTTATTTGTGTTAACATTTACAGTGTGAGTAACAGATATATGTTTATTTGTGTTGATACATTCTACAGTTGAGTAACATTTAACTAGATATATGTTTATTTGTGTTGATACATTCTACAGTGTAACATTTACTAGATATATGTTTATTTGTGTTGATACATTCTACAGTGTGAGTAACATTTGTTGTATATATGTTTATTTGTGTTGATACATTCTACAGTGTGAGTAACATTTGTTGTATATATGTTTATTTGTGTTGATACATTCTACAGTGTGAGTAACATTTGTCGTATATATGTTTATTTGTGTTGATACATTCTACAGTGCGAGTAACATTTACTATATGTTTATTTGTGTTGATACATTCTACAGTGTGAGTAACATTTACTAGATATATGTTTATTTGTGTTGATACATTCTACAGTGTGAGTAACATTTACTAGATATATGTTTATTTGTGTTGATACATTCTACAGTGTGAGTAACATTTACTAGATATATGTTTATTTGTGTTGATACATTCTACAGTGTGAGTAACATTTACTAGATATATGTTTATTTGTGTTGATACATTCTACAGTGTGAGTAACATTTGTTGTATATATGTTTATTTGTGTTGATACATTCTACAGTGTGAGTAATATTTGTCGTATATATGTTTATTTGTGTTGATACATTCTACAGTGTGAGTAACATTTACTAGATATATGTTTATTTGTGTTGATACATTCTACAGTTTGAGTAACATTTACTAGATATATGTTCATTTGTGTTGATACATTCTACAGTGTGAGTAACATTTGTCGTATATATGTTTATTTGTGTTGATACATTCTACAGTGTGAGTAATATTTGTCGTATATATGTTTATTTGTGTTGATACATTCTACAGTGTGAGTAATATTTGTCGTATATATGTTTATTTGTGTTGATACATTCTATATATGTTTATTTGTGTTGATACATTCTACAGTGTGAGTAACATTTACTAGATATATGTTTATTTGTGTTGATACATTCTACAGTGCGAGTAACATTTACTAGATATATGTTTATTTGTGTTTGATACTTTATTTGTGTTTATTTGTGTTGATACATTCTACAGTGTGAGTAACATTTACTAGATATATGTTTATTTGTGTTGATACATTCTACAGTGTGAGTAACATTTGTCGTATATATGTTTATTTGTGTTGATACATTCTACAGTGTGAGTAACATTTACTAGATATATGTTTATTTGTGTTGATACATTCTACAGTGCGAGTAACATTTACTAGATATATGTTTATTTGTGTTGATACATTCTACAGTGTGAGTAACATTTGTTGTATATATGTTTATTTGTGTTGATACATTCTACATTCTACAGTGTGAGTAACATTTGTTGTATATATGTTTATTTGTGTTGATACATTCTGCAGTGTGAGTAACATTTGTTGTATATATGTTTATTTGTGTTGATACATTCTGCAGTGTGAGTAACATTTACTAGATATATGTTTACTTGTGTTGATACATTCTACAGTGCGAGTAACATTTACTAGATATATGTTTATTTGTGTTGATACATTCTACAGTGTGAGTAACATTTACTAGATATATGTTTATTTGTGTTGATACATTCTACAGTGTGAGTAACATTTGTTGTATATATGTTTATTTGTGTTGATACATTCTACAGTGCGAGTAACATTTACTAGATATATGTTTATTTGTGTTGATACATTCTACAGTGTGAGTAACATTTGTTGTATATATGTTTATTTGTGTTGATACATTCTACAGTGTGAGTAACATTTGTTGTATATATGTTTATTTGTGTTGATACATTCTACAGTGTGAGTAACATTTGTTGTATATATGTTTATTTGTGTTGATACATTCTACAGTGTGAGTAACATTTGTCGTATAGATGTTTATTTGTGTTGATACATAGATATATGTTTATTTGTGTTGATACATTCTACAGTGTGAGTAACATTTACTAGATATATGTTTATTTGTGTTGATACATTCTACAGTGCGAGTAACATTTACTAGATATATGTTTATTTGTGTTGATACATTCTACAGTGTGAGTAACATTTACTAGATATATGTTTATTTGTGTTGATACATTCTATGTTGTATATATGTTTATTTGTGTTGATACATTCTACAGTGCGAGTAACATTTACTAGATATATGTTTATTTGTGTTGATACATTCTACAGTGCGAGTAACATTTACTAGATATATGTTTATTTGTGTTGATACATTCTACAGTGTGAGTAACATTTACTAGATATATGTTTATTTGTGTTGATACATTCTACAGTGTGAGTAACATTTACTAGATATATGTTTATTTGTGTTGATACATTCTACAGTGTGAGTAACATTTACTAGATATATGTTTATTTGTGTTGATACATTCTACAGTGCGAGTAACATTTACTAGATATATGTTTATTTGTGTTGATACATTCTACAGTGTGAGTAACATTTACTAGATATATGTTTATTTGTGTTAGATATATGTTTATTATGTGTGTGATACATTCTACAGTGTGAGTAACATGATATATGTTTATTTGTGTTGATACATTCTACAGTGTGAGTAAAATTTTGTATTATATATGTTTATTTGTGTTGATACATTCTACAGTGTGAGTAACATTTGTAGTATATATGTTTATTTGTGTTGATACATTCTACAGTGTGAGTAACATTTGTTGTATATATGTTTATTTGTGTTGATACATTCTACAGTGTGAGTAACATAGATATATGTTTATTTGTGTTTACAGTATATATGTTTATTTGTGTTGATAACACATTTGTGTTGATAACTACAGATATATGTTTATTTGTGTTGTAACATTTGTAACATTTACTTGTATATATGTTTATTTGTGTTGATACATTCTACAGTGCGAGTAACATTTACTAGATATATGTTTATTTGTGTTGATACATTCTACAGTGTGAGTAACATTTACTAGATATATGTTTATTTGTGTTGATACATTTACTAGATATATGTTTATTTGTGTTGATACATTCTACAGTGTGAGTAACATTTGTTGTATATATGTTTATTTGTGTTGATACATTCTGCAGTGTGAGTAACATTTGTTGTATATATGTTTATTTGTGTTGATACATTCTACAGTGTGAGTAACATTTGTCGTATATATGTTTATTTGTGTTGATACATTCTACAGTGCGAGTAACATTTACTAGATATATGTTTATTTGTGTTGATACATTCTACAGTGTGAGTAACATTTGTTGTATATATGTTTATTTGTGTTGATACATTCTACAGTGCGAGTAACATTTACTAGATATATGTTTATTTGTGTTGATACATTCTACAGTGTGAGTAACATTTTAGATATATGTTTGATACATTCTACAGTGTATATGTATATATGTTTATTTGTGTTGATACATTCTACAGTGTGAGTAACATTTGTTGTATATATGTTTATTTGTGTCGATACATTCTGCAGTGTGAGTAATATTTGTTGTATATATGTTTATTTGTGTTGATACATTCTACAGTGTGAGTAATATTTGTCGTATATATGTTTATTTGTGTTGATACATTCTACAGTACGAGTAACATTTACTAGATATATGTTTATTTGTGTTGATACATTCTGCAGTGTGAGTAACATTTGTTGTATATATGTTTATTTGTGTTGATACATTCTACAGTGCGAGTAACATTTACTAGATATATGTTTATTTGTGTTGATACATTCTACAGTGCGAGTAACATTTACTAGATAACATTTGTCGTATATATGTTTATTTGTGTTGATACATTCTACAGTGTGAGTAACATTTACTAGATATATGTTTATTTGTGTTGATACATTCTACAGTGTGAGTAACATTTGTTGTATATATGTTTATTTGTGTTGATACATTCTACAGTTCGGCAAACTTCTACGCTTGCACACAAATATGACTGATATACAGCTAGAAATTTTTGTCGGGTAACATGGGAATTTACCTAAGGTTAAAATGAACTTTAAAATAACCCAACAAAAATTGCTGGGAAGCGGTCATATAGTCCAGTGTGACACAGGGACGGTTATACCTTGTCAAAGTAACTTTTATCAAGACAATAATATTCCCTTCATATATATAATTTCTATACTTTAATTACATTTATCTTTCTAGTGTGGTTGCGTCATCTCAAAGTCGTGTAAGTATTGCGGGGTTACCTCCCGATAGCACGGCGAATGTGTGTTATTTCTTAGTGAGCGTTAAAAATAGACTTTACGTCAATAGGCTGCACAGGTGAGTTAAGGTATAATTAGGTTTGTCACTCGTGACAAATAGGACGGATTTTCATCCGGGCATTTTTGTGTAAAGCTGCCATATTTGTAAACACGGAAGTACGTGTGTCCATGTAACTTGATTTCATATACAGACATATACAGAGTGATCGAGTACGAATTCAGTGTGGTCAGGTAAAGACATGGCGACTTTACTGAAACATAGGGCGCTGCTGGGGTTATCGGTGTTAGCTGTGCTTCTCGTCATCGGTGCGTTCACAAGTCCAGGGTGGTTTCGTATCCATTACCTATCCTTTGGATCAGGGGATGGTTGGGAGGATCATCTAGTGGAAGACGGACCCATTGCCATGGCCAAGAGAGAGGGAGAACTTGGCCGCAAACGTCATAAACACCACCACCACCACCATCATGGAGACGACAATGCTCTGTTGCCAGAGGATAAATTTGTGTCCATCTCTGCTGGGCTGTGGTACTTTGTGACATGTGTAAAATATATCGGAGAAGATATGGAGGAACACCACAAGTGTCACCACAGTTCCTATTGTCATGCCAGACGAGAGGTTGACCGGCTGCCGGAGGAGTTACGCGGAATCGGGCTCGAATCCATCTACAGAAATGCAGGCGGTAAGTTGCCCACAGCCCATATGTAAGGTTTCTTTTAATCTCAAATAAAGAAACAGCCCCCTTTTTTTCACGTGTACACTTTCTTACTTACTTCACCTGTAAGAATAAACCCCATAGTCAGTACTTTTCAGCCAGACTCCACTTTCGGAATAAATTTCTCCTTGACCTTTGACCTTTGGACTGATTTTTAACTACTGTTTTAGTAATACTGGACTCCTTTGGTATTTTTATTACCACAGACATAGCTCGGTTCGGATTACTGGAGTTCCAGGTTGAGGCCGCTATCGGAATGGTATGTGCTATCATCGGAATGATTGCCGGATTCCAGTACGTGCGTGGTCAGTTCACAAAGAGATGCGCTGGACTGGTCACTTTCATCTTTCACCTCGTCTCCGGTATGATCTGTATAAATCAAAGTTACCTATCTATGTTGGAAAGATGTATTTAACTTACCGTTGTTGAAGTTCACTGTAGAATATATTATGAGATGACTAATTCCTTAATTGTATAATCAGTGCCTTTCTAGTTTGATGATATTCTAACACATTATATCACTAGTGTCAATGAAAACTTGTCTGAAATTCCTGTCACTGTAAACGTGAACTCTTGTAAGGTATACACACCTTTAATAGTTTGCGAAATATAACGCATCTTTAATAGGTATACCTGTAGAAACGCTATTTATATAACATGTAGTGTATGTATGGTGAATGTAACCAGACACCCATCCTCGATGATGATAGACATCTACCAAAGTAGAATATTGATGCCTTAAATCTGAAAATAGGAACACTGTATGTAAACTTTAAGTCGATAGGTCTATGTAAAGAGATAGGTTTTGATAATTTTTTTTAAATGTGGTGAGATGGACACCTATTTGAATTAAGTAACGGAAAGTTTTACTCGCTAATGACAGAGGCTGAGAACGTGAGGGTGATCGCTTCGAATAAAAAAGGAATCTCATGCTACACGCTGTATGTAATGTACATGTTGACGTGAAATTATACAAGAGGTGTCAGAGGCTGACTTCAGTGAATTAATTACAGAGGTTTACCATTGATCGAAATGGAGTTGCCTCCCTTAGAATGGAGACTGGAAATGAAGGGTTTTAAGAGGTCTCTGTCAGATTGTTTCCGTAGTTTATAGAATTCGGGAACTTATGATAAATTCGCCTTTATTCTGTGTGATTGGTGTTTCAGCAAACACAAGTAAAATAATGTTTTGAAAATACATTTCATAAAGGTGAAGAATTTGTCGTTTTTATGGATTTTCTTTTTTGTGAATAAAAATGGCGAGGTTTATTCAACATTTTTTAAACCGTACTTAACATGACGGGAATGTTAAAAATCTTACTCATAAAATAATTTTGAGAATGCAATATAGATATATAAAGCGTCAATTCGTGCCTTATGTTTTTTTTAGTTTGGAGACTACTCTCCAATCAAACTATTTAAAGCTGTTCATTCTAAACGACTAGTTGGATTGCTCTGATTATAATTAATTTCTGAGTTAGGGACTTAGATATCGAGAGTGTCACTCCTAAATAGGAATCTGACAAGAGTAAAAGTTTTGTGCTCAAATTTTTGACATCAGTCCATTTGATGAATGTACTAAATGGATTTTTTCTTATCTAATAATTTTGTTTTGTGCAGGCGTACTGTTTGCGGTGATCTTCGGCAATGCTGTCGGGATGTACAAGATCGGAATGCTGGCTTTGTCCCAAGTATACGGGTACGATATGAATTCCCCATATCTGTACCTTGCAGCCCCCTACTCGCTCCTGATGGTGGCAGTTGCCTCCATTGTAATACTTGGGAACTCCCTCGTGTTCCTCCTCATCCTCTCAAAGGGACCGCGAAAACACATCGACCTGATCAGCGCCCAAGGGAAAGGACCGGGAGTACCTTTCGGAATGATTTCCCCGCCTGGCTACAAACCATTCCCTGGTCTGGGGGACCGCCCATCCTTTAAAGAAGAAGATCCACTTCAAGAGAAAGTGCCTTTGTAATCACTAGGCTAACCTCGGCCAATTCCGTATCCTTTATCAGATAGTTGTTGATTAACTTGCAGAATCAGCCGAGATGTGTTGTATTGTGCCCAAGGCGAGCAATTCACTTACTTTCATAATGTCTATATATGTTGTTCAAGGAGATTTACATGTGTTGTAGTAGACTGGATGTTTATTCGGAAGTTAATTATAATATTTGATGACAAAAACAATATTCAACATGTATCTAGTCCTCTTAGGAGTCTCTTCACTTTGACTGCTACTGCAGAGATGAGTATTGGTGCTGTATTTGCCGATGGAATCTGCTCATCAACACGCGCTGTCTCATCTGTAACGTTTTGATATTATGCTGTACATATGCGCTATAAATGGAATACCAAACAAAGACTGATTTAGTTATAGCGGATGGTTTAAAACTAACTGCTGGTGAAGTAAGGTAAATGTTGTAACGTTTAAAAGGATGACGTCCATTGAGAATTATTCGTTATTTATTCAGAGCTTAATGTCATGTGATATTGTACTAATTTATTGTCTTCTAAAAGATCTGATATATTTTTGGTAAAATAGCTTTACATGCCCATCACAAATTACGTTTATATGGAAATTCCTATTTGTTTATAAAATTCCAAATATGAAATGGCAAATGCATTTAAACTTGATATATGCATGTATTATGAAATACTGACTTTCAAACTATATCTGTTGAACAACAAATTTTATATATACATTTTCTAGAGAAATTTTCAGAAAAAATACAGTATAAATAAAGAGAAAAAAACTCTTTGATTTTATGACTTATTTCTTATGCAAATAGCCATTTAAAACTGTGCACATGAGCTTTCAAAAACATGTTTCCTTTTTGATAATAATGAAAGTACACACGATTTCGAAATCTGGTAAGTGTCAATCGATAAACATTGTTTCAAATAACAGAGTTATCCCCCTTCTGTCAAAATCGTTATTGATCCACAGAGTGTTTCCGATTGCTTTGTCTTCGGTAAAATGACATCAATTTATGACGGATAAAGGGCATATAAATGGTACCGAACGCTGATCTTCTAAAACCTATATTCAATACAGACTATGATAAGGCCACATTAATCTTGATTAGAAACAAATATTCAGATCCCTTCCATCGTCAACTGAATTTTGAATGTTTCATCATATCAACCGATGTTTCTCATACTGAACAGTTTTTTAGGTCATCTGACCCGAAGGGTCCGATGACCTATAGTCATCATGCTTCGTCCGTCGTCGTCCGCCGTGCGCCGTCCGCCGTCCGCCGTGCGCCGTCCGTAAACTTTTCATTCAAACGACTTCTTCTCAAATACTAGAAGGTCTAGGGGGCTAATACTTGGCACAGAGGATACTGGCATGGAGCTCTACCAAGTTTGTTCAAATGAATGACCTTGACCCACTTTGAAAGGTCACAGGGGTCAAATATGTTAAAATCTTTAAACAACTTCTTCTCATTAACCAAAAGGCTCAGAGTGTAGATATTGGGCCTGTGACATGCAGGGATGAAGGACTACCAAGTTTGTTCAAATGAATGACCTTGACCCACTTTAAAGGTCACAGGGGTCAAATATGTTAAAATCTTTAAACAACTTCTTCTCAATAACCAAAAGGCTCAGATTGCTGATATTGTGCCTGTGGCATGCTGGGATGAAGGGCTATCAAGTTTGTTTAAATGAATGACCTTGAGCAACTTTCAAGGTCACAGGGGTCAAATATGTCAAAATCTTTAAATAACTTCTTCTCAAATACTAGAAGGCCTAGCGGGCTAATACTTGGCCCATAGCATGCTGGCATGGAGCCCTACAAAGTTTGTTCAAATGAATGACCTTGGCCCACTTTCAAGGTCACAGGGGTCAAATATGTTAAAATATACAAAGGACTTCATCTCAATAAGCAAAAGTCTATGAGTGCCGATATTGGGTCTGTAGCATGCTGGGATGAAGGACTACCAAGTTTATTTAAATGAATGACCTTGAACAACTTTAAAGGTCACAGGGGTCAAATATGTTAAAATCTTTAAACAACTTCTTCTCAATAACCAAAAGGCTCAGATTGCTGATATTGTGCCTGTGGCATGCTGGGATGAAGGGCTATCAAGTTTGTTTAAATGAATGACCTTGAACAACTTTCAAGGTCACAGGGGTCAAATATGTCAAAATCTTTAAATAACTTCTTCTCAAATACTAGAAGGCCTAGGGGGCTAATACTTGGCCCATAGCATGCTGGCATGGAGCCCTACAAAGTTTGTTCAAATGAATGACCTTGGCCCACTTTCAAGGTCACAGGGGTCAAATATGTTAAAATATACAAAGGACTTCATCTCAATAAGCAAAAGTCTATGAGTGCCGATATTGGGTCTGTAGCATGCTGGGAGGAAAGGCTACCAAGTTTATTTAAATGAATGACCTTGAACAACTTTCAAGGTCGCAGGGGTCAAATATGTCAAAATCTTTAAATAACTTCTCAAATACTAGAAGGCCTAGGGGGCTAATACTTGGCCCATAGCATGCTGGCATGGAGCCCTACAAAGTTTGTTCAAATGAATGACCTTGGCCCACTTTCAAGGTCACAGGGGTCAAATATGTTAAAATATACAAAGGACTTCATCTCAATAAGCAAAAGTCTATGAGTGCCGATATTGGGTCTGTAGCATGCTGGGAGGAAAGGCTACCAAGTTTATTCAAATGAATGACCTCAACCCACTTTTAAGGTCACAGGGGTCAAATATGTTAAAATATACAAACGACTTCTTCTCAACAAGCAAAAGTCCATGAGTGCTGATATTGGGCCTGTAAGATGCTTGGAGGAGAGGCTACCAAGTTTGTTCAAATGAATGACCTCAACCCACTTTCTAGGTTTGGCTTGCTTTTTGTCAGATGACCGTTAAGGCCCATGGGCCTCTTGTTTACCTCTGAATGTCGGATAAAGCATAATTCCGTCAGTGATTCAACCTTGTCCAAATTCTAGAATAGAATCATGTTCGTTATGTTACGCGTGTACCATTTCATATTTAAACATTTTTAATTGATATTTCTTCAATATGACAGCAATTTTGTCATACACTATGAGACAGCTTTTAAAGTATGCATTGTTTTCTCACTAAAACTCGCTGTTTGATTCAGTGTAATGGAAAGGAGTAGTAAAAAGCAATCTTCTGGTTTCGAACTAGCGACCCTCCGGTCTCTAGCCGGACATTCTACTGTTTTTAAAAACTCACTAGCCAACACTGGCACGACAATCTGAACTTACTCCTCGTACACAACTTCCTCCTTTACTGAGTATTGATGCCGAAGCCAGGTCCGATATATCCAAGAAAGCATCTTAATCAATAGATTTTACCCTCGGAGTAGTCAACGATACCAAATCTATAATGGGAAGGAGTAATGAAAAACACCCTTACTTATCTGGTATTCGAACCATAAACCCCTCGAACACCAGCCGCATACTTTATCGCTTGCTTCAAGGAAATTGCCAGTAGCCGAGGTTAGGTAAGGCGACCTGTACAGCATGGAATACTAATAGATATGCAGCACAAAACAATGAGAAATGTTGCTTTGGGGGAGAAGAGATCGTATACAGGTTTGAATCTGGAACTTTTTTTATCCGAAAACCCGCCAGCATGCTCTCAATATTTGGGCTTTCTGGTCGCTGGGAGTATCGGGTAACTGAAAGCAGCATATATTATCAATCCCCCGTAGTATAAATTGATTACTGCTTTGAAGGTGATACGCTATGTTTCTTAATCATAAACAAATGAATTAAGCTGATTAAATTAAACATTTCGATATTCAGTTAGGAAAGTGCATATTCAGCTTAAAACGTGGCCTTACATTTTATCTGGAGAGCACAACATATCTAGCTTAGAGTGTTTATTATAAAAGAAATGAAAATGACCTTGAAATGAGGGGAGATGTCCTTGGAATAGCGCATGTAAATATACTCTTACAAATTATGCATGAACCTTATAGCCCCGCGTGGATTCTAAACGCCTGAAGGATGTCCATCTGGTTCACGTGCTATGAATTATAAATACCCCCGACTTGTGAATGGCGATGACTATAGAGCTTGCGATATGAATGTCATACACATGTACCGAGACAGCTGTCCGTTTTACAAAATGTGCATCTCGTGCTTGTTATTAAAGACAAATATAAAACCCAGAATAATATTTTCATATTATGTTCACAGTTTACGAAGATACTGTGAAAGTTTCACTCACCAAACGATGAAATCTTACCAATACAGGTACATATTTTCGAATTTCTATTTAGATAAACGAATATATATGTATGGATTTGCCATTAACTGTTTACAAGGAAGTAATCAGGGTCAAAAGAAGCATATTTTTTCACTTAAGTGTATAGGCTAATAAAGAGCCGAATTGATCATGATTGTAAATATCAAGACGGATTTTCACGATGTACCCATCAGCTGACAATGGTCATAGACATGATACGAAGAAATGATGAATGTGAATCTGGAAAATATGTTATACTCCGGATACTACATCGCACATGTGTGCACTGACTTGCCCTACAGCAACGCTTAGAAATAAATCGCGCGAATTTCGCTTGTGCTGAGTCTGCTGTTAGAACCATGTACAAATAACTACGGAGCAAAGGTTTTTGGATAAGTAAAAGACAATTGTAATTCCTAAATGAAGATCTCAGACCAATATTCAATTGTTGAGAAGAAGTATATGTAAGTTTAACACACGTAAATTATTTACTTGTGTTTATTTCAGGCTGAGCTTAATTTTCAATACTTGATATTATGGCGTGATCATTGTCAGTGAAAAAATGTTTAAACTTAAAAAGGGGGTTTAGAAGATGTGCAAGACCTCCGCAATATACTACAACAACCTCGGATCTCACTCTACAACACTACAGTCGGTCATTCCCGGAATACAAATTACTGGTCTTAGAATTCATCTACAGCTATACAGCTGGCTAACCCAGTAATACACATCACTGATCTTAGAGATCACACTACAACACTGCAGCCGTCTCACCCCCAAAACACGCATCACTGATCTCAGAGACCACACTACAACACTACAGCCGTATCACCCCAAAAACACGCATCTATGATCTCAGACACCACACTACAACACTTCAGCCGTCTCACCCCAAAAACACGCATCACTGATCTCAGACACCACACTACAACACTTCAGCCGTCTCACCCCCAAAACACGCATCACTGATCTCAGAGACCACACTACAATACTACAGCCGTCTCACCCCCAAAACACGCATCACTGATCTCAGACACCACACTACAATACTACAGCCGTATCACCCCAAAAACACGCATCTATGATCTCAGACACCACACTACAACACTTCAGCCGTCTCACCCCCAAAACACGCATCACTGATCTCAGAGACCACACTACAATACTACAGCCGTCTCACCCCCAAAACACGCATCACTGATCTCAGAGACCACACTACAATACTACAGCCGTCTCACCCCAAAAACACGCATCACTGATCTTAGAGATCACACTACAACACTACAGCCGTCTCACCCCAAAAACACGCATCACTGATCTCAGAGATCACACTACAATACTACAGCCGTCTCACCCCAAAAACACGCATCACTGATCTCA